CGTCCCCCTCGGCAACGGTGGCCCGCATGCCGCCTTCTTCGCCGTCAAGGAAGAGCACAAGCGGAAGATGCCTGGGCGCCTCGTCGGAGTCTCCAAGGACCGCCTCGGTGGGCGGGCGCTGAGGCTGGCTTTGCAGACCAGGGAGCAGCATATTCGGCGAGACAAGGCCACCAGCAACGTCTGCACCGCCCAGGCGCTGCTTGCCAACATGAGCGCCTTTTATGCCGTCTACCATGGACCCAAAGGCCTGAGAGAAATCGCCGAACGGATCAACCTTTGCGCACGGGTGGTTAACTCTGCGGCGATCATGAACGGCTGGAACACGACTCACAAATACACGGATGCCTTTGTGCCCTTTGACACGGTGCGCATTCAAACCCCGGGCCTCGCGAAAGTGTTCCAATTGTACGCAAAAAAGAGGAACCTCAACATCCGTCGTGTCAACGAGAACATGGTCAGCATGAGCTTCGACGAGACAACAACCGAGGCCGAGTTGCTCCAAGTCATCGAAATCTTTGCCCTCATCCGCGAAAAGCAGGGCATTGAGAAGCCTGACTTCCCCCATCCCAAGGAGCTGCTGCAAAACTTGATCCAGCGGCACAAGGAAGAGGGCATGAGCCGGGTGCCATCTTTCTTCCTCCGAACGTCCGAGTATCTGACCCACCCGGTCTTCAACACGCACCACTCGGAGACGGAGCTCCTCCGGTACATCCACCATCTTCAGTCCAAGGACTTGTCGTTGGTGCACTCGATGATCCCCCTGGGCTCTTGCACCATGAAGCTCAACGGCAGCACCGAGATGTCGCTCATCACCCTCCCAGGCTTTGCCAACACCCACCCGCACAGCAGGGACAGCAAACACTACAAGGCACTGTATGGAGCGCTCGAGGCCCAGCTCAAGAGCATCACCGCCATGGACGGCGTGTCACTCCAGCCCAACTCGGGCGCCCAGGGCGAGTTTGCCGGCCTCGCCGCCATCCGCAGGTACCACCAGGCCAACGGACAGGGCGACCGCAACATCTGCCTGATTCCCGTCTCGGCCCACGGTACGAACCCTGCGTCGGCGGCCATGGCGGGCATGCAGGTGGTACCGATCCAGTGCGACGCCAAGACGGGCAACCTGGATCTGGCCGACCTCGAAGCCAAGTGCGAGAGGCACTCGGCCCAGATCGGCGCCATGATGATTACGTATCCTAGCACATTTGGCATCTTTGAGCCCGCCATCAAGAAGGTGTGCGAGATTGTGCACGCGCACGGCGGCCAGGTGTACATGGACGGCGCCAACATGAATGCCCAGATCGGGCTGTGCTCCCCGGGCGAGATTGGCGCCGACGTCTGCCACCTGAACCTCCACAAGACGTTTTGCATTCCCCACGGCGGCGGCGGACCCGGCGTCGGCCCCATCTGCGTCAAGGAGCACCTGATCCCCCACCTGCCAACAACCTGGGTGCAGGACAACCACCAGCGCAACCACCCCGTCAGCAGCGCCCCCTACGGCAGCGCCGGTATCCTGCCCATCAGCTGGGCGTACAACGCTCTCATGGGTAAGCCAGAGCCATCCTGAAAACCTGTATCAAAGCTAACCCGACGCAGGCGCCGAAGGGCTCAAGCACGCCACCAAGATCACGCTCCTCAACGCCAACTACCTCCTCAGCAAGCTCAAGCCGCACTACAAGATCCTGTACAGCAACGAAAACGGGCGGTGCGCGCACGAGTTCATCCTCGACGTGCGCCCGCTCAAGAAGACGGCCGACATCGAGGCCGTCGACATCGCCAAGCGGCTGCAGGACTACGGCTTCCACGCGCCCACCATGAGCTGGCCCGTGGCCAACACGCTCATGATCGAGCCGACCGAGTCCGAGTCCAAGGAGGAGCTGGACCGCTTCGTCGACGCGCTCGTCGCCATCCGCGCCGAGATCCGCGAGATCGAGGAGGGCGCCGCCCCGCGCGCCGGCAACGTCCTCAAGATGGCGCCGCACCCCATGGTCGACATCATTGACGGCGACGGCGGCGCCGCCTGGGACAGGCCCTACACCCGCCAGAAGGCGGCGTATCCCCTGCCGTGGCTGCGCGAGAAGAAGTTTTGGCCCAGCGTGGCGCGCGTGGATGATCGTGAGCCGCCCCTTCCCCCTTTCCCCCATGTTTCCGCGGCAATTTGCTGACAGTCTGCAGTCTACGGCGACTCCAACCTCTTTTGCACCTGCCCGCCCGTAGAAGACACCACGGAGGGCGGCAACATCTCGTCCGTCCAGGACGGCGGCGATCTCCCGCCCGTCCAGAAGGACTAGCCTCTTGATCTGCTCGCGCTTGCTTTCTGGGAGGGATAGGAGTTCTATGTAATGGATGGATGGATGAAACGACCCAGGACTGGGAAAGAGAGGTGACGGAGGAGTACGAGTTTCAACAAGGATACCCCGCATGTCCCTTTTCCTTTTGAGAAGGGGGGCACGATACACGTCTTGGGATTCTCTTTTCAACTAAAGAGGGCGGCGATACGAAGGATAGAGGTTCAACATCAGGGTCATTGAGCGGACGGACGGATCATCGTGGGTATTCGGTTTAGATCTGGGACGGGAAAGATGGGGGTGACGGATGTTCAACAGAGGTCCGATGGTGGAGAATAGACTTTTCCGATGTGCGGTTCTGCTTTACCTGGGATGAGTGTGATGTTGTCATTCCCAAGATTGTGACATTGCAAAGGGCGAGGTGTTGAGGGCATCCATCTCCAAACCGACACTCGAAACCTCACCATGACGATCACGCGACACGGCATCCCGAATAAGAAGCATTCACATTGTTTTTCCCTCAAACACCATCCCATGCATCCCTTCCATGCTCGCTTCCCGTCCTCCCATAAGCCAACAACCCCCCAAACAAGCAGCAGGCTCACGCCTCAAAAACTAACACCAGCGCGTCGTCCCCCGCCGTAACCACCCGCTCCCCCGTCTCCCCCTGCACGAACCCCAGCACACCACCCCCCTCCCCGCCCCCCCGGTGCCCGCGCCACTCCTTGACCAGCCCGCTCGCGCCGCTCTCCCCCGCGGCGGCCGTCGCGCCGCGCAGGTCCCAGCGCCGCACGACGCCGTCCAGGCCGCACGACGTCAGCAGCCAGCCGGCCGCGGCGCCGGGCACGCTGCGCACAAAGTCGACCTTGACGACCGACTCGTCGTCGTGGGCGCCGCGGATGTGGCGGCGCACGGCGAACGACCGCGACGGGTCAAAGACGGCGATGCTGCCGTCGACGCTGCCGGCGGCGAGGAGGGTGGCGGGGGCCGGGGAGAAGGCGAGCGACTCGATGCTGTCCGACTGGACGCCGAGGGCGGCGAGGATGGCGCCGGCCTGGGTGGCGGGCTCGCTCTTGCCGGCTTTGGCCTTTTGTTTTGGCTGGGCGCCGCCGGAGGAGGAGGAGGACGAGAGGCGCGGGAGGCCGACGATGCGGATGGCGCCGGCGGCGCCGCCGGCGGCGAGGAAGGCGCCGGTGGGGGCCACGGCGACGGAGAAGAGGCCGCCGTCGACGAAGAAGCGCTGGTCCGCGTCCGTCAGGGAGACGACCGTCTGGCCGTTGTCCGTGACGAGCGAGGCGGCGGCGGCGACGCCCCAGACGTCAAAGACGTGCAGGGAGGCATCCTCGGAGACGGTGGCGAGGAGGAGGCCGTCGGGCGACCAGGCGCCGGCGGTGCACGGGCCCGTGTGCAGGAAGTAGGACTGGAGGATCTGGAGGGGGTTCTGGGCGTCCGAGGGGTCGATGGTGAGGACCCAGACGGAGCCGTCCGAGGCGCCGAGGGCGATGGTGTTGGGGTAGGTGGCCGACGGGCAGGGCAGGAGCCAGTTGATCTCTTCGGTTTCTTGCGACTCGGCGAGGAACTTGATCTGGGCCGGGGCCGAGGCGGACGGGGCGGCGACCGAGTGCACGCGCAGGCGGCCGTCGAGACCGGCGCTGACGAGGAAGTCGCCGTTGGGGAGGGTGAAGGCGAGGGCGTTGATGCTGTCGGTGTGGCCGTCGATGGTGAAGAGGGGCTCGAGCTGGGTGTTGGGAGCGACGGCGGGATTGGAGTTGTAGCTGGGCGGGAGGACTGGGCGCGAGGCGGCGGGCGACGTGTCGATCACGTAGCCCTTGCCGGGGGCGTCGTCGGCGTCGCCCTCGGACCCGCCAGTCGCAATCAGGTTGGGGTAGAGGGGGTGCTGGGCGATGGCGAAGACCGAGTCCTTGTGCGTGTCGAAGTAGGCGATGCTGTCGTTGTGGAGGAGGATCTCCTCGTTGTCGTCGGGTCCCTCGCCGTCCGAGTCCATGGCCACGTCGCCATCGTCCTCGTCGCCCTCGAGGATTTCCTGAGCGTCGTCCTCGGCGAGGACGTCGAGGTCCTCGTCCTGCTCGTCGGCGGGGTTGTGGTGAGAAGACGACATTTCGGGATTGACTGCGGAGGGTGTCTGATGCGAGGGGGGAAGAAACTATCGGGGAAGAGCGGGGACCGTGAGAGAAGAGAGAGCCGGCTGCAAGAGATGGTTTTATCGTGGTGGCGCAAAGCCGAGGGGCAATTCCCGATGGGGTCACTTGGAGACTTGGAGTCGCGATATTTTTTCGATTGATAAGCAGCGGAGCGCTTATCGCATGGCGGGGTCAGCCCTTGGAACCGCTTCGAACAGGGCAGGGAGTGCTGAATCAGCAGTGCTGGAGTGGGTGCTTCGGGCGGGGCGGCAAGCATGATTCATGAAGCGAGGCGAGCACGCTTGGCATTCAGCCGCAGGGTTCCACAGTCAACGACATCCAACGTCGACGGTGCAAGTGACAGGTCCTCTCCAGTCTCGAATCTCGACAGGCTGGGGAGAGTTCGCAGGTGCGATTCCATGCCACTGGTTGAAAGGTTCTCGTCTTCGCAGGCTGCCTTGGAGGCTATGTCATGCTCGCAACCTGGCGTTCGACCGAGAGGTTCGCACTCGGCGCTCAAATTGGCACCATTCAATGTTGAGGTGCTGCTGTCTGGGAAGGAAAAAGGAAAAAATGGCTCCGCCGGGATTCGAACCCGGAGAGTAGACCGTGGATTATCGGGCATTTTAGGAACAAAGGCACCTCCTAGACTTGAACTAGGGTAGGATACATAATCGGGGGCATGATAGAAAAGAAGAGCACAAGGGCGGATTGAACAGCTTACCACCAGCTGCTGGGAAACCAGATTGCCTGTTGAGAGGTTTCAGGAGATCCACACCGACAGTCCCATGCTACCATTGCACTACGGAGCCGGTTTGTTGGAGCCTGGTGTTGAAATTCTGCTCTTGGGCAAGGCATGCTGGGATGAAAAGGAAATCTGGCTGGGAAAGCAAAAAAGAAAAGTACAACTTAACTCCGCCGGGATTCGAACCCGGAAGCTAGACTTGGAGATATGGGGAACTTTGGAAATAAATACACCATAGGTGCAGAACCGGAGGCATGATAGAAAGAATTGCACAAGGGCGACTAGCTTTTTGCTAAATTTCCGGAGTGCCTATTTCTAGGTTTCTCGGGGTCGGGCAAACCACAGCCTCATGCTACCATTGCACCACGGAGCCAGGGTGTTGTTAATTGGAGATCGGTGTCGAAATTCCATTCATGGTAGAATGCGCCAGGCCGTGCCATAAGCGGGCCACGGTATGCCTTGGGCACAGTCCCAACTCACCAGCTGCAGTTTCATCCCAAGGCACATTCAAGCCGCTAAGCTCTCGTTTGAATCTATCGCGACACAACTCTCCAAGGTGGCAGAACCGAATCGCCGAGGCAGTCACGGCATCTCCACAAAGCAGTTGCAAAACAACAACAATCTTCGTCATCCACTACCACCGTCCACTATCATCGCCACCACCCCATCTCCAGCCCTGGGCTTTTTTACTAGCACGAGACCTCTTGCCGCCGAAGCGATGCCTGCAAGACAAATCCAGCCGCCTCCAGTCCCGACTCCAAGACCTGGTCATCAGAAATACAACTATCCGGCTTTGACTTCACGTCCTGTTTGGACAGAGATTTGAATATCGGGTTCCAACTTCAGGGCCACCACCAAACGGCATGTGACCTTGGTGTCTCAAATGTCTCGCATCATCAAACAAACTACGAGAGAGCAAAGGCTTGTCCCCGTTGCCAGTGGCCCCCCGGTCCCCGTCGGCAATGCTCAGCCTCGTTTGGCGTCAATATTTGTCAAACTTTGATCTGTGTACAAGCTGCCGTTCCTCGCCTTTGCTCGATGCCGGGTGCGCGGTGGTGTTGCGATCTCGAGCGATCTTGATCTCGAGCGACGCCGTTCTCTGGCGATTGACGCCACTCTCGAGGGCACGACGTCGCTCCATCCGCGGCGGCTGGGGCACTGGGTGATGCCACACACTGCCTGTACATCCGTTGCCTTTGCCGGCGTCGTCTGGTCGACGCCCCTCAGCGGGCTCAGCGTCCCGAGCCTATGCTTCATAGCGAACAGAGCAGGTCATGGAGCATTACATATACCTCGGCTTTGACAGACACCAATGTCACGCATGTGAGGTGACTGGACTGGGTGGGAGGACTGGGTGGGAGGACTGGACGGGAGGACTGAGGGCGTGTGTTCGACCCTTGTACGTAGCAGAGCTGCTGGGAAGAAAGACATACTGCTGGGGGAGGGAAAAAAAGTTAGGCTGGGAAAGAAAAGGACTTGACTCCGCTGGGATTCGAACACGGAAGCTAGACTTGGAGATATGAGGAAGAGGGAACAAAAAACTTGGCTCCGCCGGGATTCGAACCCGGAAACTAGACTTGGAAATATGAGGAACTTTGGAATAGAGGCACCTATTATGATAGGATGCAGAATCGGAGGCATGAGAAAGAATTGCACAAGGGCGACTAGCTCTTCGCTAAACATCAGGAGTGCCTACTGGGAGGTTTCCTGGACTGGGCAAACCACAGCCTTATGCTACCACTGCACCACGGAGCCAGTTTTTGTTGGAGGCTGATGCCCAATTTCCGTTCTTGTAGGACACAGGTAGACCACGGGGTATGGTGGGGTAGGGGGATGAGATGGGATGAGAAAAAAACGACCTGGCTCCGCCGGCACAGCGAGCAAGTTGAGAACAAAGACCTGTGCCTGACGCCGTCTTCGAGTTGATTTTGGGCCCACACTGGCACGCGTTACATCGCACCAAATTACTCCGAGTCCTCTCCGGTATTTTACTCCTGCTGGATTTCCTATCCTCGACCAGGATTCTTTCCCCTCCACTCCTCCTGATTCGCCCCGGCACTGGGCACGACCAACCTTGCCCGCGTCATTCCTGGAGCGTTTTGGTGAGATGCCCTCATCACCGCCGTCCACTCGCAAACGGGCACGAAGCGAATCTCCTTCTGGAGATAAGCCCCGGTTGCCGCCGTCCCTTCGCAAAACTGGCCCTGGGCCATCAGACCTTGGCACAGGTCCCGCGAAAAAGGATGACGGGGCTGCCGGCACACCCAGCACAATCCCGGAGGAAAAGGAAGAGCGCCATGTCAGAATACGGCGCCTTTTGGCTGACAAGGAGAAGGCCCGGGCGGCTAAATTGGTAAGCCAAATCAAGAGGGACAGAAACTTGAGCCTTGGACTAAATTCTCCCCAGAAAGCTCAAGAGAATGAAACCGCGGTCGTCCCACCACAGCCGGCGCCATCTGTTCCCTCGGGGGCAGCGTCAGTTTCCTCGGGGGCAGCGTCAGTTTCCTCGGGGGCAGCGTCTGTTCCCTCGGCGGCAGCGTCTGTTCCCTTGGCGGCAGCGTCCGATGTGTCTTCTCTCCCGTCGCCTTCCTCAACTGCCAGCATACCGACCCTGGATGAACGGCCATCTCGCAACCCAGTCCCCTCTTCGACGACGGCCCACCAGCCCCAAGAAAGACCCCACACACCCTCAACACCCCCCTGCGAAGCTGCATCCTCGCCCTAGACTGGTGAGCGACGAAGCTTTGCCGGGGTTGTACGGTTTCATCGAGGAGAGGCTGACGCGCTCAAACATGCTGCGAAGGAGCTCGACTACAGTGTGGACGAAAACAACGATTTCCAAGCCACAATTTTCGCCGATGCGTCACGGGGTCAGAACCACAGATACTCGGTATTTGAAACAGGAGCGTACGCCATTGCGTATCGACGACCAGGAGAGGCAGATCCTTTGAAGAACCCATTCCTAGTACGATCGTGGTAAGACATCTATCCCAAGCAGCCTGTCGCACAGTCTACAAGCCCACGACTAACAGTTCATTCGCAGGCGGGTGAAGCGCATGCATCACATCGACCACGGCGAGATGCTCGCCATTGCGGAAGCGATGGACGCGGGACTTGGCCTCGCAGGATCAGGGGAGCTCGAAGGCACGCTTCGGATCTTCAGCGATTCGAAAGAGTGCCTCTGCCTTCTCGAATGTGGAACGATTGAAGAAATCCGCCGTCGGAACCCGTACATAGACGAGAGCATGGAAGACGCAATCCGCGCTATCATATGGATGTCACACCGTCTTCGCTCCTTGCTCGGTCCGGCAGCTGGGCGTCTAGAACTCAACTGGATGCCGGGGCACGGGCATCGAATCTACCCGCACCTTGTTATGGACGAGGTCTCCCGCGACACCAGGCGCGGGTGGAAGACGGGGAAGGCCAGCCTACTCAACGAAGGACGGAACCTCGCTTGGCGCTGGAAATGGGACGACACGAAGTTTCAGGATTCGCTGACGTCCCGTATTGAAACGCGTTGCTGGGCGTCGGAACCGTATTGGGTGAACGCACCGCACCGACGATGAGGTTGTGGGCACGTGTTCCCATTTGGCGCATATACGAGGACGCCAGGGTCCGGCATGGATGGAACAGTTTGATGGGCTGCGGATGTCACTATTCAAGATGGAGTCGTTCTGGGAATGTCGATGATAGTATGTTGGATGAGATCCCACGGCTTGGGGATTGAAGGAAAATGTTGGGTGAAGATGTACGAGTAAGTTGTTTCTATCCAGTATGTACAATTCTGTCATTCAAGCCAACATCAATGATATGAAAGGGTCGGGAAAGCGCTGGACCAGGACAAAGAGAATAGTTCAAGGATGCTACTAGCGTCGATAGAATATCCCCAGTCCTTCCACCCACTTTTTTCAACATAGCACTCAGTGACGTCCCTGGTGGCGATGATGGTGAGGATGGTGATGGGGATGACGATGGTGATGATGGTGATGATGGTGACGATGACGGTAGTTAACGTTGGCGACGGTGGTGGTGGATGCCGATGGTCATCTTGGGATGAAACTGGTGGCTGCCCAAGGTATGTCTGGTCGTGGCCCACTTCCTGGCCTGGCGCACCCCAGCCTACCATGGATAGAAATTGGGCACCAGCTTTCAACTACAAACCGGCTCTGTGGTGCAATGGTAGCACAAGACTGTGGTCTGGGAACCTAGAAACCTTTCAACAGGTACTCTGGAAACCAGCAGCTGGTAGAGCTGTTCAATCGCCCTTGTGCTATTCTATCCCGCCTCCGATTCTGCATCCTACCCTAGTTCAAGTCTAGGAGGTGCCTTTGTTCTTAAAGATCCTCGCTTTCCAAGTCTAGTCTCCGGGTTCGAATCCCGGCGGAGTCAAGTTTGTGTTTTTTTTGCCCTTCCCAGCATACCTGCCAACAGTCGACTGTGCCATAGATGAAAATTGTACGCAAGCCCCCAACTTCAAACCGGCTCCGTGGTGTAATGGTAGCACAAGACTGTGGTTTGGGATCGCAGAAACCTTTCAACAGGTAACTCTGGAAACCTGCAGCTGGAGAGCTGTCCATCCGCCCTTGTGCCCTTCTTTCTACTGGCCTTCGATTATGTATCCTACCCTAGTTCAAGTCTAGGAGGTGCCTCGTTCCCAAAGTTCCTCGCACTCCAAGTCTAGTTTCCGGGTTCGAATCCCGGCGGAGCAATTCTTTTTCCCCTTCAATTACAGTCCGACAATTTCTTTTTCATCCATCCAGCAGCCGCCTCCCAGCCCCCGACTTCCCACCCACCGTCTGAGTTTTGAACAATTGCTGATTTGTTTGTCAGCGCGAGACTTCTCCTCGAGCAAGCGAGGGCCGGCCTTCGCCTTTCGTCCGTACAAATTAATGTCTCCGCAAGCGCCGTTCGGCCTTGCCAAGGTTGTATCTTCAATGTCTCGGGCTCCCTGGCAAACAAGGGGGAGTGCCCAAGACTGAGACCATCACTTGCAGCATCCAGAAGACCATGGCAGTATTACGCATTACCCCCGGTGTCCGAGTCATTCTAGCACCAAGCTAACCTTGACAGATACATCGACAAACAAAGGAAACAACCCCCAGGCTTCCCTTCCCACATGGAACGTCCTCCCAGCATGGCCAACACCCCCCCCCCCCGAGTCCCCTCAAAGAGGTTCGGGAGCCGGGCACTCCTCCCCGGCAAACAGGTTATTCTCACACGGCCCCTCGGCCGGGCACTTCTCATACAAGCTCAACCACGCATCCCCTCCACACAACTGCCCCGCGTCTCCGGCGCACGGGAAGTTGCACCCGCCGAGGCTGCCGACGACGTTGTCGGGCTCGCGTGTGTCCGCGTACGAGTTGGCGCACCAGCACTCGCGGCGATACTCGGTGCCGGCGTCTGTTTCAGTGGTGTCAGCTCGCGTCTCGACTGTCCAGGGGGAGGGGGGGGGGAGCTTACACTTGTACCCAGCGGCGTTGCAGTGGGCGACGCACTTCTCGTTGGTCATGTCGTCGGCGTGCAGGCTGGTATCGGCGAGGGTGCGGCCGAAAAAGTCAAAGGGGTCGACGCGGCGCTCCTCGGGCGCGCAGCCGAGGAAGCGGTACCCGTGGGCGCGCATGTCGGTGTAGAGGGGCGCGGCGGTGGGCGTCGCGGTCGGGACGGCCGAGGTGGTGGTGGTGGAGGGGCCGCCGGTGACGGGGCGGACGACGAGGGTCACGGTCACGCACTCGCGGGCGGGGTCGACGACTGGAGGGTTGTTAGTGGGTTGGGGGGTTGGAAGAAGGGTCCGGGGACGTACGGGTGTTGCCTGGGGGCGAGTAGCGGAACTCGTGCGAGTTGTCGTAGGAGGGACGGACGCAGATGGAGCCGCCGGCGGGGTGGTCTTGCCAGGCGGTGAAGTGCAGCTCGAGCTGCGTCTCGTTGGGGTCGTCGGGGTTGCAGGCCCAGGTGGGCTCGAAGAGGGCGCGGGGGTCGCTGCGGTCTGTCATGAAGACCTTTTCGGTGTTGTCGACGGTGGAGGTCTAGGAAGGGTTAGTAGGGGTTCCGGGTGTCAAGTGGGGTCTTGACTCGCCTCGCCGCCAACGACAGCGCGGATGCCGCCGGGCAGGTGGTTGATGACACCGTCGACGAGGGTGAGGTCGAAAGCCTGGGTGCCGACGGGGCCGATATGGAGGTTGCGGTCAATGTTGGTGCCAACGAGGTTCACGAAGCTGTTGTGGATGTCGGGCCGGGTGGGATTCTGGACCTGGAGCCGGAAAGGGGCCGAGATGGTGCTCGAGGGAGCCGTGCCGGGGATGACGCACTGGGCCGACACCAGGGCGGCGCCGGCGAGGAGGGTGGATGTTACCATGTTGCGAGCCATCGTGAGGTAAAGAGTGACGTGTAGTTGGACGAAGGAATGGGCCTCGGTTGGATTGAGCGAGTGAAATCCAGCTGAATGGATGTGCAGACGGAACATGCATGCGGAGGTATATATGGGTGCTGCAGCTGCCGCTGCCCCGGGTCGTGTATCATGCCCAGGAATATACCTGGCATATGCCCAGCATTCATGTCGCCGACCACGATGCTTGGCGGGGTGGTAGCGCTGACGGGGAGCTGTCGCTGACGGGGATGCTTAGCTGACGGCGGCTTAGCTTACGGACAGGCCCGGTCCTTGATGCCGACGAGGACAGTGTCGAGACGCTGGTCCTCTTTTGGAGGCCTGACATGGCCAAGATTCAATGATACCAACACCTGCATGCTGGATGCACCATGTAGGTACGGTGCGTCTGCAGGTACCAAGCGTGCCAGCGGGGAAGGGTTGCGGGTCTGTTGGGTAGGTTGTTGACCGTATCCCGTAGACCGTATCACGGGTGAGAAGACATGGATGCGGGCAAGGGACCGGAGTCTTCAATCTTGGTCTGGACCCGGGAGAGGGGGTCGGTCCTGTGAGGTGTCATCCCAGGCCAGAATATCCGTAGATGTGCTCGATCTTGACTGCCATGACTGCACACGAATGTCTGCTTGGCCGCCCCGGCGGTGGTCACTGATCACCACTGACCAGACTGGCGGGAGGATGGACGAGACTCGGGTCCGGGGTCCGGGGAATCGGATTCGGAATGTGGGGGCTCGAGCGACCGAGATCCATGCTGCATGACGCAAGACCCATGGAGGACAGTTAGTGCTCTGCGGCCGGCGTGGTACGGTACGGTAGAAAGGCGAGCCTGGGGTTGAAACTTGACGGCAGAAGTGGGTTGTCCAAGACCGGGCGACGTGCCGGGCAAGAGTCCAGGACCCTTTCAGTGAAGCTCAAGGCCCGAGCCCCTTTGTAATTTTGTTGGGTGCACCCAACACCATTGTTGGCTAGCGCTCGCTGAAATCCAAGGCATCTGGCGGCTTCCCCAAATCTGCAATCCGGATTTACTTGTCATGCGACCACTTGGTTCCATTATCGAGGGTGGACGTGTTGTCGTGTCTCTGAAATGCCATGGGAGGTTGGGAACTTTGGGGCGGATGGAAGTCAAGAATTGAATTTCTCCATACCACATGGAACCACCTGGAAAAGAGCGCCACAGCGGCCCGTTTGTGTCCACAGGTGGTACGTGCGCTGCAGATCTGGATCAGTGGGTCGCGGGATCGCTGGACCCAATTTCAATTCCAACGACATCTCAACTTCTCAGCATATCTTTGCACCACGTCACCCCTGGGTATCCGCCTCAAACATCATATCTCGACATCCTTGGCCTCTTGCCATGCTTCCCTCCCAGTCTCCCCAGCCACAACTGGACCCGGGTCTTCCACCCATTGTCGCCAGTCATGCCTCTCATCGGCACCAACTCGCGACCAGCATCTCTCTGCTCATAGATGGCCAAGCGCTCGCAAAGGTTCGACACATTGGTCTTCTCGGTCGCCAGTTCCACGTTCAGTCCACCCTTCTCCCTCTCCAGCGACGCGACCCTCTCCCGTAACTGCCCCATCTCGACCGCCAGCCTCTGCTTCTCCCCGTCTGCGTCTGCCAGCCTGGTTCGAGCTTCATCCCGCTCCAGCCGCACCCGATTCGCATCGCTCTCCGCCGCCCACGCCCTCTCCCGCGTCTCGCGCACCTCCTTCTCTCGCGCCTCCGCCGCGCTCTTGAGCTCCGACATTTCGCCCTGAACAACCTCGTGGTCGATTGTCAGTTGCTTCACAGCGTCTGCCATGGTAGCGCGATTCTTTTCGAGCACCCTCTTTTCCGCAAGCGCGACAAGAAGCTGTTCCTGCGAATTGTTGAGCTCTGCTTGCGCTTTCAGGAGCTCCTGCTGCGACTTCCTGAGCTCTTCTTGCGTCCTCCTGAGTTCCTCCTGCGACTTCTTGATCTCCTCCCGCGACTCCCTGAGCTCCTCGTCAACCGAAGGAACCGCGAAATGCGGCCTCCGACCGGGCACAACCCCCGCGCTGTCTTCCTCGTCCGGAATCTCGCTAGACGTGCGATGCGACGACTCCTTGGAGCTGACCACCGACTCCGGCGACGAAGCCGGCGACGGGTACGCCGCCTGCGCCGTGAAATATGATGTCTCAGGCGTCCGGGGCCGGATATGCTGCTGCGTCGCCGCGACGTGCTTCCTGATGATGGTCAGCCATCGCCCGGCGAGCTGGCCCTTTTGGTTGAAGTGCGCGGCCTTGTCACGGCAGAGGCAGAGCTCGGCGAGGCGCAGGAGCTGGGTGGTGGTGATGTCGGCGGGGGGGATGGCGGCGAGGGACGGGAGCATGTCCTGCACGGCGCGGTTGTCGGGGTCGGCGGTCCACTTTTGCCAGCCGCAGCGGCGGCCGTCGCCGGTGTTGATGGCGGAGCATTGGATTTCGCCGGGCCGGGCCTTGCCGGCGATGGAGAGGAGCTGGTCGGGGTTCCAGAGGGCCATGGTGGATGAGGTGTTAGAGGTGAGTGGGTGTCGAATTGGATGAGCTAAGTTGACATGTTGGTGAGGAAGGGGGTGATACTTATCGAGAGACTCTAGTCGGGGTCTGGCGTTGGGCAGCCTTCCAGAGCCTGATCGTCGACGAAGACGTCGTGGCCTTGTTGCGTGGCCATGTTGCGTGGCCGTGTCGCGTGGCTTGACGCTCGGTCGGAGGCGATGCAGAGATGTTCAGGGGTGCGGCCGCCCACCGTCTGCACCCAAACGCAACCTGAAACTGCAACTCACATCGCCAACCCTCGCAAGGCTCTCTGTCCAGCTGTACGGATGCTGCATCATCAAGTGCCTATTCACTGACCACATTGAGGTATGCATTGAGGCCGACAACTCCAAGAGTCCAATTCCTTTTCTTTTTAAAAAGACAGTGAGAAAGCAGAGATGCACTCAATTGGTCACCACTCGAACGACAACCTTACACGCGAAATGTCGCGAGTCGCGACGTCCCGCGAATAGGGACTGCACAGCCTCAAAGCACGTACTATTTGCTCTTGGCCCTCATCGTGTGCAGCCAATATTGGCCTGACCTGTGACACGGCTCGACCGTCGAGAGCCTCGTCAGGCTCTCCCTCTTCTGTCAGAAATCACTGGGTCAGAAATGACTGAAGGCCGTCAAGAGGTGGGTGATGCCTGAATTTATGCACAAGGCTCACTCATGATGCAGCGCAATGTACGGCCTGGACTCGCTGCCAAGTATTGCTGCCTGCAGGGTGTTCAGCTCTTGTTCTGTCTCCTGTCAAGAGCTTATGCGGACCAGCGGATGCATAATACTGCCCCCG